ATGTGGTGGGAGGAGAATGTTGACAAGTGAGGTAAGATGAGGGAGGGAGTGGCAGCCACTGGCCGGTTGGTTGGTGTGGTGGCCACTTCTTACTGCTGTTTGACTTAGCATACCAACTTAGTGGTTCGTTATGGTGAACAAAAATGTAGATACTTATATATAATGTGTGCATATAGTGTAATAACAGAGTCAAACTCATGCAATAGGCAACAGGAAAACATTGAAGCCTGCTAAATATACGGATTTGGACTCGTCTGTATTCAAATGGTTTACACAGCATAGTGCGAAAAGAATTGCTGTTTCAGTTGATTCTATTAAAAATGCAGCTGAAAGACTTGCTGAAAAGTTAAACATAGACAATTTCAAGGCTAGCACTTAATGGGTATGTCGATTTAAAGAGAGGCATGGCATCATTAACAAGAAAATTTGTGGCGAAGCCTTAAGTGCAGATGTAGGAAGTGTTAATACATTTAAATATAAATTTTCTCAGCACATGGTATCTAATAATCTAAGCTGGTTTCAAGTGTACAATGCAGATGAAACAGGCTTTAACTGGAAATGCCTTCAAAGAAACACTTTGCCCTCTAGGCTTGAGGAGAGTATTCCTGGTCGCAAGGTCAGCAAGGAAAGAATTTCAGCATTATTGTGCGGTAATGCAGATGGCAGTCACCGAACAAAGTGCGCAATTGTTGGGAAATCTGCCAACCCCAGAGCATTGAAAAACTGCATGAACAGATTACCTGTCGTTTACTACAACACCAAAAATGCCTGGTTCACACAGATTATTTTTGAAGACTGGTTCCAGAATCACTTTTGTAAAGAAGAAAGAAAGCATCAGATCAATGAGTGTGGCATTCGTCCTGCTGATGTAAAGGCAATGCTGTTGGTTGATAATGCCCCAGCTCACCCCATTGCTAAATTAACATCGTCTGATGGTAAAATAACATGTATGGCTTTACCACCAAATACTACATCTCTAATACAGCCCATGGATCAGGGGGTTATCTATGCTCTCAAACGGCTTTATAAGAGAGCTATGAATGTAGATATAATGGAAGTTCTGCTCTCTGAGGAAGACAAGAGGCTTAATAAGGATACAAGAGCTAGTAGAACACTAGAAAACTTCAAGAAATATTCAATTAAAGACGCTATTTACAACTGGGCCAAACAATGGAACGAGTTCAAGGTCACCACATTAAAGAACGCATGGAATAAAATTCTGAGTCCGGTACCTGGTGAGAATAAAGACGAAGATGACTATGATTTTCAGGGCTTTGATAATGCGATTTTTGAGTCATTAAGAGATGCTGGCGAGGAAGATTTACAACTTTCTGATGTGACTGAGTGGTTAGATAATGATGCTGATGATCCAGGTTATGGTGAATTAACTGATGATGAGATTATCCAGTGTGTTACTGGTAATGCTGATGAGGATGCAGAAGAGGAGGAAGATACCTGTAGCATGTTACCTATTCCATATGCTGCATCATTACAAAACCTTAATCAGCTGCTTGATATAGTTGCTGTAGCTGATGATGAAGACGTGGCAGATTATTATCTACATCTAAGGGGATTGAAAGATATTATAATGAAGAAGCTCATAATGAAGAAACAGACTAAGATTCAAAAGTTTTTGGTACAGCTTAACAGTAGGCCTACAGGACCAGCACCCAGCACTAGCAAGGACTCGCCTGAGGATGCCCAGGCAACTGGACCAGCACCTAGCACTAGCCCAGGGATGCCCAACAACTGGACCAGCACCCAGCACTAGCAAGGACTAGGATGCCCAGGCAACTGGACCAGCACCTAGAACTAGCAAGGATTCGCCTGAGGATGCCCAGGCAACTGGACCAGCACCTAGCACTAGCAAGGACTCACCTGAGGATGCCCAGGCAACTGGACCAGCACCCAGCACTAGCAAGGACTTACCTGAGGATGCCCAGGCAACTGGACCAGCACCTAGAACTAGCAAGGATTCGCCTGAGGATGCCCAGGCAACTGGACCAGCACCTAGAACTAGCAAGGACTTACCTGAGGATGCCCAGGCAACTGGACCAGCACCCAGCACTGGCAATAACTTACCTGAGAGTGCCAGTTGAGCTGTACAACACAGTTCTAATGACATAAATGTACAAAGTGTAAAAAGTGTAGTTTAAGTGATACAGTACAGTATACGTTTACTTCAGTACTGTAGTGTGATTCTAGTGGTCTGTACTTTATGTACAGACTGTAGTGTATAATGTACATTTGTTAGAAAAGTTACTGTTCCTTAATGAATTTATATTCATATCATATCTGGCACTCTCAGGGAATTGAGGCTAAAAGTCTGCACTGCACAACTCAACTGTTAAGGTAAGTACAGTAGGTTATCTTGAGATGATTGCGGGGCTTTTTAGTGTCCCCGCGGCCCAGTCCTCGACCAGGCCTCCACCCCCAGGAAGCAGCCCGTGACAGCTGACTAACACCAAGGTGCCTATTTTACTGCTAGGTAACAGGGGCATAGGGTGAAAGAAACTCTGCCCATTGTTTCTCGCCGGCGCCTGGGATCGAACCCAGGACCACAGGATCACAAGTCCAGTGTGCTGTCCGCTCGGCCGACCGGCTCCCTCAGTAACAGTAAAGTAAAAACAGTAGCAGTAAAACAGTGCAACAGTACAGTAAAACACAGTAACAATTTATTGCTAGGTTTAGAAACTAGATTTTAGATTTAGAAAGATTGCATAAATTAAGCTTTAAAAAAAAAAGAAATTGGAGGGGGGGGGGTCGGAGGGTTTTTTGGGGGGGCCGGACGGATGGAACGAATCGGCCTCGCCCCATATAGTTCATTCAAGTGAGGACACATTCATTAATCATGTTCATTAATCTGGCGAGAGAGATTTTTTTCCTTGTGTGAATTATCCCTTTTTCTGTGTTTAAATAAATGTAATACACACACTTTGATTGTTTTTTGAGTCCCGCCAATGCAGAAATATGTTACCGGCTCCACGTGGTCATTCTGGTGTTGGAAGTGTGTATAAATGCCCATTGGTTCTACTTAGCTAGTTTAAAGTAACGTACCTATACTGTAAATACTGCCCCGAAACGCTGTGCGTACTAGTGGCTTTACAAGAATGTAAACACGTCATACTATGTATTCTCATAAATCCAATGTACCTTCTTGTGTATATATATATAAATAAATAAATAAGAAAGTAAGGATGGGTTTCGTGAGTTCATACTCTAGGGTATGGCTTACAAGCTTAGTGACCCTACAACAGTATATATTCTTAGATATTTTAATATTAAAAATCGAGTGTTGCCATCCATAATAATCTTGCAGGCTTGGCCTTGGCTGATGTCCTGCGCAGTTACATGAGCGAAATGAAGGTGGATAATGGCTTGGAGGCTTTGGGTTTCACAGAAGAGGACATCCCTGCATTGGTCAAAGGAACACTTCCACAGGTTGGTATCCTCTACTAAGAGTAACACATTCTTGGATCGTTTGTACTTCACCTTTCTCTCTCATGTCATAGTTGAGAGGAGTATCAGTATGAACTGGGGACTTAACTGTATGTTGACTAGTATGCTCAATGTTAACCTCCTCTTTTCTGGAGGGGAGGCCCCAGATCTCACCAAGATTGGGCCCAATGGGCACTTGCACGGGGCCCCACAAGCATAGGACATATTCATTATGGAAGCAGAATATTTAAATATTTAGGTCTTGATGCAAACACATTTATATACTGTACAGTATAACGTCCATTCAACGCACTATATGGGACCAACCCCGGTGCATTGTAACGTTGGATTCGTTGCAAGAGGTGACCTTCAGGAGGCGTTTGCATCAGTGTCTTTTTTTTCTTGTAAACAATAAAAATGCATTATCATTATATACTGTACTGTACTTACATATTACTACTATACTAAAAAAATACTTTCATTTGTTACAAAAGTTACAGTTGTTATTTACGTTATTGTTGGAGTTATGTCCGTCTTGAATTCTCATGGAGTTGTGAATGCTGTATAGTAAATATGTACTATACTGTATTATGTTGTTATCAATACAGTGCTAAGTAGTTCTGCTGTATATTGAGTACTACAATACAGTTTATGTAAACTTTTTTTACACTAAAATTACTGTACTGCAACCTTATTTTGAACACTTAGTATCCACTCGATTTAATTGTCGAAAGCCTTTTTTAGGTCCAGATAGATGCAGTCAACCCAACCATCTCTTTCCTGTAATAGCTCTGTTGCTCGATCATAGAAACTGAGTAAATTCGATACACGTATGTGTGTGTGTGTGTGTGAAAATTAGGATTAAGGACTAATTAATGCCAAAATGCTATGCGTGCTAGTGGCCAAAATGGCCAAAATGCTATGCGTGCTAGTGGCTGTACAAGAATATAAAAGCTCTTGTATATAGAAATAAAAAATGTATATACATTTTATTTATTTATTTATTTATTTATAAATTTATTTATATATACAGTATATATATATACAGTGCAAGAAGGTACATTAAGGGTTAACAGAGAACATAGAATTTAAGTTGAATTTACATTCTTGTAAAGCCTCTAGCTCGCATAGCGTTTTGGGAAAGTCCTTAAACTAACAGATAATTTTTAGATAATTACCAGTAAAATTGAAAAAAAATGTTTATAGGTACTTTACAGCATTACTTTACAGGTACAAATGACTTTAAGTAGAATAATTATGGTAAATTGAAAAAATAAAATGTTTACAGGTACAGTGCAAGAAATTTTGATACAAAAGCAGATTAGAATATTTCACAATGATAACAATACCCAATAATGAACAAGGACTACTAGGTATATTAAGAAAACATCTCAGGGTTATACATTGGTTCACTGAAGCACAATATGAGGATCATTACAAGGAATAATGCAGTAGAATATGCACTCAATACAACAACCATGATATCAGGTGATCTAAGATTATAATGGTAAAGTAATATGGCTTAGGTACAAATATTGGAGGAATGGGTAGCACTAGAAACAGTGTGAAGATAAATAATAAATGATAAGATGAAGGTGAAATTAGGTACTGTTTGGTTTAATTTTTTAAATGAGGCAAAAGTTGGACAGCTTTTTAATTCATTTGTTATTGTTTGTTATTGTCCAGATAAGAGTTCTGCTGGGTGATGATTGGCTTGAGGTAGTTTGCAGAGGTTGAACTCCAAGCACATATACCATAAGTAAGATAGGGATAGATAAGTGCATAATAGTGAGAGGAGAACAGAGTTAGGTATATAACATCTGATATTAGAGAGTATACCAACTGTTTTAGAAATCTTTTTAGTTATGTGTTGAGTGTGGGTGCTAAAGTTGAGCCTCTTGTCTAGGTATAGGTCAAGGAACTTTCCATCATTTTTATTGCTAATAATTACATTATCTGAAGCTGAATTGCATTTGTTGATTTGCTTTGAAATAAGATGTAGTAGGTCTTTTCTATGATTAGTGTGAGTTTGTTGGTTGACATCCATAAGTGGACTTTTCTGGGGGGAGCCCCGTCGGCTATCCAGGCTGAATGGATATGTATAACTTAATGGCATCAGTCAAAATGCTTGGAGTTTTTGCCTACCAGGGACCACGAGCCAGAACCTGGCCCCCTCAGAGAGGCACGAGGAGCAATGGCCTATAGAAACCCCCCTGTGGTTGGGAGCATTCTATGTGTCATCGACCGAGACAGGCACCCAGAAAGGTAGGCGCCCCAAAACAAACCCCTATTCTGGTGAAAATAATGCTACTGTAACGTACGATTATGTTAACGTTGTTGAGTAGATTAGATACACAGTATTTAGTGGTTTTTTGCCACAAGGTTAGGAAAAACTATTTTATTTTCCACTGCCATGAACAACTTATCCCTCATCTGCAGTCAAACTGTGCTTCAAAGTTCCAGTTAGCCAATGCCATCAAATCTGCATGTAACTCTTGTAAGGATTTCTGCTGCTTTCACAACCTCTTCTGGAAATCCATCAAACTCCTATGATATAAAGGTTTCACTATATAATGACACAAGGTAATCGGGTTTCATAGGTCTTTGTGTGTGAAAACTGGCATTCACACATTACAGCTGTACATTAAACTGTACTAATGCCTGCTGTACTATAAACTGATGAACCCAGTGAAACTAAGAGTACTGATTTCTTTTTTGTGTCCTCCTTAAGCCCATGGTACTCAAAATTTACTTCCATTTTGATTAGGGACGAAGTAGCAATAGCCATGGGATGAACACAACTCACTGTTGTCTAAGTTCTCCTAGCCCATCCACATGATGTACTCTTGCTGCCCTGATGCTCCTCAACTTGTCTTGTACCTGGGCTTCCTGCATAAACCGTTAATCCTTGTCACCACTGTTAAGTTTTCATATGGAGGAAAACCCAGGTCTGGACAGCATGGCTTTATTTACAAAGCGACAGTTACGTCAAACTGGTATAGGTGCCACGAATATAACAATTACGTTCCTTATAGACAAGTAAGCATTGGCTCTTAACATTATGAACTTAACTGAGGTACACTTAATCCTACAAGATATACTAATCCTAACAGGTATCTATGTAATTTTTCAGCACCGTGTGACCAAGCTGGCACCCCGTGAACAGAGTGAAGATGACCTGGCCTACCTATTTGAACGTTCCATGAAGATCTATTAATTGCCCGTATGAAGAGGGTTGGCCTATGTGTGGTGAGGGAAAGTCCAAAAATTACCACATTGACAATTTTTTGTACCACTACCACCATAATTTATATTTCCACACATGCTATAAATAAAAAAATTTAGTAGAGGAACTTTATCTTATCTTATTGTAGTATGCCTTCTTGTGTGATAAATGTACAGTAGCTCTTGTAATGTGAAGTTCTTGAAAAATTATGTAACCTAATCTCTGGTTATCTGAATTTCTGTTTGGATATGGTGAAGCTTTACCAGAAAATTATCTGAAACCAATTTTGGCTGGATAACTCAAATATTTGGATTAGCAGGCTTTGGATATCCGAGCTCATACAGTATATATAATATATATAAATTATGTATATAAAATATAGTCTGTGTTTGAACCCCTCATGATGATGAGTTTTCTGAGAGAGAGAGAGAGAGAGAGAGAGATAAGAGATATATATATATATATATATATATATATATATATATATATATATATATATATATATATATATATGTATATATATATATATATATATATATATATATATATATATATATATAATATGAATATGACCGAAAAGGTAAGATTAAGATTATTAATCTTACCTTTTCGGTCACATTCAACATTTTAACACGAATCTTCTCAATATTTCTTATGTTTTTCTTGACTGTCGGTGGTAATAAAAATAACAATTCTCCAAAATTCATTTTTTAATTGTCTGACGCCTGAACGCGTTTCGTAATTCGTATTACATTTTCAGACTTAATTTACACACAAATTCTTCGTACTTATACTCTATTGGATGAGGTGATATGGTACAAAAGTTTTGGGTGAGGTGACAAACACAAGACAGAACACGAAACAATGGGTATAAATTGGATAAGTGAACATATGAATGGAAGTAACTGCAGGAGGTGTGTATGTGTAATTACCTAAGTGTAGTTACAGGATGAGAGCTACACTCATGGTGTCCTGTCTTCCCAGCACTCTTTGCCATATAACGCTTTGAAACTGCTGACGGTCTTGGCCTCCACCACCTTCTCACTTAACTTGTTCCAACCGTCTACCACTCTGTTTGCGAAAGTGAATTTTCTTATATTTCCTCGGGCATCTGTGTTTAGCTAGTTTAAATCTATGACCTTGTGTTCTTAAAGTTCCAGGTCTCAGGAAATCTTCCCTATCGATTTTATCAATTCCTGTTACTATTTTGTATGTAGTAGTCATATCACCTCTTTTTCTTGTCTTCTAGTTTTGGCATATTTAATGCCTCTAACCTCTCCTCGTAGCTCTTGTGCTTCAGTTCTGGGAGCCACTTAGTAGCGTGTCTTTACACCTTTTCCAGTTTGTTGATGTGCTTCTTAAGACATGAGCACCACACAATTGCTGCATATTCTAGCTTTGGCCTAAAAAATGTCATGAACAATTTCTTTAGTATTTCGCCATCCATGTATTTAAAAGCAATTTTGAAGTTAGAAAGCATAGCATAGGCTCCTCACACAACGTTCTTGATGTGGTCCTCAGGAGATAGTTTTCTATCTAGAACCACTCCTGAAGCGAGACGCCAAGTTCGTCGTCTCACCCCTTTTGTGGGCGTATCCTACGCTCGCGTGTTGCGTTCTACCTCTCCTCGTCCTTCCCACCTTCCTCAGTCTCACAACCGTTTCCAGGCCTTAAACCTGACCACACCCACCACCTCCTCCCCTATTCCTTTGCCTCCTGTCCCCAGATGGTCTCCCTCCTGGTTCTCCATCTGGGGTTTCCCCCCTTCCTACCCAGTCCACCATATCTCCTTTGTCTTCTTCCCCATCTCCCCCTACTCTTTCTTCCCGACCCTCCCCCCAGTCTCTTGACCCTCCACACCACCTGTCTGTCCAGGCTGATATCCATCATACTCCCAACAATCTTCGTGTTGTTCGCTCTCGTTCCTCTTCTCCTGCCGAGACCATTGAGTCTGTCGCCCAGTACGTTGTTACTGGAACGCCTGTCTCTTTGAGCCAGAAACGTAAGCCTGGATCCTCTCCTTCCTCTCCGGCGGGTAAGAAGGTTTCGCTTTCTTCCTCACCCCCTCCCTCCGACTGTCACTACATTCCCTCCCATTTCAGTGGTCGAACTCCCTGTCTCTGATATGGAGGTTTCTTCCGCCCCCGATTCCCTCTCTGTTGCTGCCCTTCCCGAGGTGCACTCCCTGATTTCTGCCCCCCCCCCCCTTCCTCCAGCTGTCCTTGCCTGCCCCTCTCAGTTGTCTCCTCCTCCTCCGGACCCCGTCAGTCCGCCTCTGGTCTGTTCTCTCGCTCCCTTCCCTCTCTCCTTACTAAGTTTACCCATGCCCCCTAACCCTGATTTTGCTGGCCCTGCTCCTGAACCAGACCCTGATCATGATATTCTTTAATAAACTGTGTTCCTCTTTACCTTTATTTATTTCTTGTTCTCTGTTACTGTCCTTTCTCTTTGTTAATTGTCTAGTCTTCAGTAGAATGTTGGTGGATTTTATGCCAACTTCCATGAACTCCAACTTCTAATTACACAGTTTACACCACTTTGTGTTTGTCTCCAGGAACCAATACTTGGTGCTCGTCCTGGTCACTTTCGTGGTTATTCCTTTTTTTCTCCCTCCCAGCCCATAACTCTACTGCTCTCTTAATTCGTTCTGATATTCCCTTCGTCCCCATACTTCTTCCGTCGCCTATCCATTGTTCTGCTGCCCATGTTTTTGTGGGTAAATGGTATAGCCTGTTCCGTTTATCTCCCTCCAAATGTCCCTCTTTCCCTTCCTGATCTTAAGCACCTCCTGGACTCCTTGCCAGAGCCGGTGCTCCTTTTGGGTGATTTCAACTGTCGACATTCCCTCTGGGGTGATGTTCTGACAAACACCCGAGGCTGTCTTCTCGAACCGTTCGTCCTCGCTTCTTCTCTATCTCTTCTGAATTCTGGCGAGCCCACTCATGTGGACTCTCGAACTCGCACCCTTTCCTGTCTTGATCTTTCTCTCTGCTCGTCGTCCCTTTACTTAGATTTCACGTGGCAGGTTCTTGATGACCTCCATAACAGTGATCATTTCCCCAGCCTCGTTTCCTTTTTCTCTTTCCACCCTCCCCTTTCCTTCCCTAGGTAGCAGTTTGCCAAGGCTGACTGGTGCCTATTCACCCTCCGTGCTACTCTCTCTGAGTTCTCCTCTCTGCCTCTTCCTCGCGCCCTCCTCCTTTTTTATGACACAGTCTTCAACGCTGCCCTCCGCTCTATCCCTCGCTCTTCCTCCCGGGGCACACAGAAGTGTGTTCCCAGGTGGAATGCGGACTGTGCTCGGGCTGTCCACTGTAAGCGTGGAGCCTGGAAAAAAACACCGCCGCCGGCAGACTGCTGATTCTTTTATTCTTTTTCGGAAGGCAAGTGCGGTGGCCCGTAGGACCATCCGTACAGCTAAACGTGAGAGTTGGAAATCTTATGTTTCCACCATTACGTCCGATACTCCTCTACCGCAGATCCGCAAGATTGCGGGCAAGTTCGTTCCAGTTGTCTCGCCGGTTCTCCACCTCCGTGGAACTCTTGTGGCGGATGCGAACAAGACTGCGAACTTGGCATCTTGCTTCAGGAAAAGAGAGGATCCCGGTATTTCAAGTTGAGGACAGCTTCCTCAAGTTTGTAGTGTATACACGAGTGGGAGAAGGTAGGGTGGGCCTCACCGCAATTGAGGCAACGAGCATGGGAAGAGGAGCACTGTCTTAGTGACCTTCGTCCCCATACATTGGGCATAGGTACGCAGTACTTTTGCATTTGAGGGCGCCATGCCCGAACTTCCAACTTCGAGGATATGTTTAATATCCTCATGGCAGTCACTTGGGTCCCTAACACCAGTTGCAACATGGTGTGGGAGAACAGTGCCAACACCTGCATTTACCGGAGCGTTTTTGGATACCCGAACAGGAGTCTCCCCAATGCATGACAATGCGGCTAAGAGAGTACTGTAGCTGCATCCTGAGGAGCAGCGACGACACGTGTACCGAGATAGGTGGGGTTAAAAGTAACAGGCATCTACTGAATCAACAAGGTGTTTATGGAGAGAGAAATTGTCAGTAGAAGAATCCAGAAGGTGGAGATCAAAGTATTTTGCCCACAAAGCAGGACCAAACAAGGCATGGTACGTATTAGCATGGGAAGGGATCGTGTGAGTGCGGCCGTGGCGGGGACGGTGTTGAGAACCCCGAGAGAGATTAAAAGGCGCAGTAGTCACAATGAGATGGAGCCGTGCCAGGGGACAAGGTGGTCACCACTGGGGCTTGGGACTCGAGCCTACCAGAGGGAGGGAAGCGGGGAGGGGGAGTAGTCCGGTCTGGGCCCAGTGTAGCAGTGGCTACAGAGCCCGGTCTTCCATCACAGTCCGACTCGGACCTGGTCGCCCACCCCCATGAGCCTGGGTAAGAGAGGTCGTGTAAGTAGCCATATATCATGCATTTTGAAAGGTCTGGGGCCTGGAACCCTGGCCAGTGGAAAAAGCTAGTGCAGGAAGGGGTGCTCCCCCTTTTTAACAGATGAGTCCTCCTGCTGCTTCCATTTTCCTACACTGGTGCAAAGGCCTCATTCTCCCTTTAGCCCCAGCCATCCACCTAGGGCAGCCACTCACAGGCGATCCCTCCAGCGTGCAGTCCGGTGACTCTCAAGGGTCCTATGTTTGTGTTCTTTCACACGTACAACTCTCAAAGAGGGACAGGAAAGGGGGCGGAGGCAACCATCACCGGTCCCAGAGAGGTGTTGTGGTGAGAGTACTCATGTACAAAAAAACAATGGATGGGGCCTGCAATACAAATGGAAAGTGCTATTACAGGAAAATTAAACACAATTGATAGTGGTAGCACTTTTATTTTCTCCATGATATACATGGTATGTATATAAAATATAATAAAACCTTGAGCTAATAATGTTCTTTCCTGGTGTATGGGATGACACTGGTAATGGCAATGATAGCAAGATCTCCAGACTACTTGGGATTACCTCTAAACAAACGTCAAGTGCATATACGAAAGCTTGAACACCCGAAGAAGTACGCGCCTACATGTGAGACCCCTTGTCACAGTGAGCAGAAAACAAAAGAGCTCTTTAGATATTTCACAGTACTATTACTTAATCTAAAACAAGTGAGGCAATGATTGACCCTTAAATAAGGAGATCCAGGCTGAGGAACACTTAATACAACACCGAAGGCGCCAAAACAAACTACATTACACAAAAGTACGACAAAAGAAACACTGTCCTTTCAATTTAATTTATTCTATGCAAGTAAAATTTTGTGTAACCTAGTTGGTACCTTGGCTATTGGCGTGGTGCTACCAGCTGACAGTTCCCCAACGCTGGCTAAATAGTGGAATGGGCGACATGATTTGAAATGTTAGAGCAAAGCTGTCAGGGAGTAAACTCTTATGTTCAAAACTTGGTTATTAAAAAAACAAAATAATAATAATTTTTTGCAAGATTACATGAGAGTAAACTCTGCCATGTTCCCAAAACAAGCAAGAGGAACAAACATCTAATACAATACCTGAATGTTTGGCTCTAAACCTTTGAAGATATGAAGGTCAGCTCTTGAACATCAATTTCCAACAAGGTGCAATGTATTCAAGTGCCTATCACTTTGAAGGTAATGTCAAATTATCAAAATAAAAAAATACAGACCCTTAAAATAATTACAAAACTGAGGATGACAAAAACTATTAATACGATTCTCCTAGTTGAACCCCCGAGAGAATCCAGATGAAGTGGAGCAAAACCAAGAAAAAGGGAGTTTAAACATCTTGCCAAGAGAAGCATGAACTACAACAATGTGAGGGGGAGGCAGAAGAGAGGAGAGGAAGGAAGGGGTAATAATTTGCCAGGCAGATCATGGCACCACAGTGGGGCAGCCAGGTAACCAGGTGTAATAAATATTCATCTTTTGGCTTCTTTATCACAGACAATATCATTTAAACTGCCTTCTGGTCTTTGGCTAGTTTTTCTTAGTGATGTTTGGTGTCCAGCAGTGTGCACTTCTCATCCACCTTGGTCCTGCATCCTTAAACTGTCCGTGACTTTCTCACAGTCTAAGAAAAACAAACAATTCACTTTATTTTTCCCACTATGTCTAAAAACTGAGAATCAGACATAATTCATAAATTAAAATCAACACCCTGAGAAAATGTGTATCTATTAAACACAACCAATTCACTTTATGTGAAATGCATCCACTTCTAAATTTCAACAAGAATTTTATTGCCCAACTCCAAACCCTATACACACTCTTTGGACACTTTAAATGGGCCATAACAATAGTGTATAATATTTCACGTGGGCGAGAGTTGGCAGAACCATCCCAAAAAAAAGTAAAGTAATTGCATTAACGTAAGAAAAGAAAAGAAAAAAAAGTATTTTCTTGATCATGTGCAGGACGTGGTGTACGCCTGGGTACATGGGTGCCCTACGGTCGCACACGGCTTCAGCCTCGGCATGTAGGGTCATTGTGACATCACATCTCCTTTAGCTCCTCAGGCATTTCATCCTTCGGATGTTTGTTTTCAAAATGCTGCTTATAAGTCTTGGGGTCAGGCATCATACCCTGAAAAATAAACAAAAAGGAATACATGTATATATAATAACATGGCTGCATTCCTACTGATCTCATCTCTGCTTTCAAATACTTTCATCCATCCAGTGCGCAGGGACTGGATGGATGGATGGTGCGGGGACTGGATGGATGGAGGTGAGGGGGCTGGATGGATGGTTATCTTCTTGAGACAGTATTCGGGGCTTAGTGTCCTCGCAGCCCGGTCCTCGACCAGGCCTTTTTTTTTTTTTACACCCCCAGGAAACAGCCCATAGCAGCTGTCTAACTCCCAGGTACCTATTTACTGCTAGGTGACCTGGGGCATCAGGGTGAAAGAAACTCTGCCCATTTGTTTCTGCCTCCACCAGGGATCGAACCCGAAACCTCAGGGCTACGAATCCCGAGCGCTGTCCACTCAGCTGTCAGGCGCCCTCAGGTCTCCATGGTCAGGGGACTGGATGAATGGATGGTGGATGGGGACTGGATGGATGTTGGGAGGATGGATGGATGGATGGGGACTGGATGGATGTTGGGAGAATGGATGGATGGATGGATGGGGACTGGATGGATGTTGGGAGAATGGATGGATGGATGGATGGGGACTGGATGGATGTTGGGAGAATGGATGGATGGTGATGGGAGACTGGATGGATGGTGGTGGGAGACTGGATGGATGGTGATGGGAGACTGGATGGATGGTGATGGGAGACTGGATGGATGGTGATGGGAGACTGGATGGATGGTGATGGGAGACTGGATGGATGGATGGATGGTGGTTTGAGACTGGATGGATGGATGGTGGTGTGAGCCTTTGTCCCCCACACCGCACCCTCCCTGCCAACCACCATCCCGCCACTGGACCTTCCCCACCTCCCCCATACTGCCACTGGACCCTCCCTGCTACCTCCATCCCCCTCACTGCACCCCCCCCCTACCCCCTCCCAGCTTTACCAGTCACATCTGGACTATACGGACTTCATTGCTACCAGCTGGAGGATCACGAGGCAGACGGCATGACATTAAACTCTACTTGTTTACCGACTGAAAGCCTGAATGACTAATGCCTAACTGATTGCTACCACAACTGTGAATGCTTGACTGCCTTGTGACTAAGTGACTGGTTCTGACTGGCTGCCACATAACAGAGGTAGTGAAATGTGTGAAAAGAAAATCTGAAACTAGCAATGAAGATATGATGCACTTAAGACGAGCATGGGACGGTCTCTTTTGAAAGAGAAATTGACAATATGCCCATGCACTCAGCCCCGGGTCCAGACTCATGGAATTCAATATTTATAAAGAAATGCAAAGTGCCAGTAGCACAGGCACTCAGTATAGTATGGAGGAAGAGCTTGGACACAGGGGAGATACCAGATGCGCTTAAAGCAGCAGACATTGCCCCTCTACACAAGGGTGGTAGCAAAGCATTGGCAAAGAATTATAGACCAATTGCACTAACGTCCCACATAAAAGTATTTGAAAGAGTGATCAGGAAACAGGTCACTAGATTCATGGAAACCCAATGACCTCCACAATCCAGGCCAGCATGGATTTAGAGCAGGATGATCATGCCTCTCACAGCTACTTGACCACTATGACAAAATCACTGAGGCATTAGAGGAAAAACATAATGCAGATGTCGTATACACAGATTTTGCAAAGGCATTCGACAAATGTGACCATGGAGTGATTGCACACAAAATGAGGTCAATGGGTATAACTGGTAAAGTAGGACGCTGGATACTCAATTTCCTGTCGAACAGAACACAGAGTAACAGTCAATCAAGTAAAATCGAGTCCGAGCGCAGTTAAAAGCTCTGTACCTCAAGGTACAGTCCTTGCACCACTGTTGTTCCTTATTCTCATATCAGATATAGACAAAAACACAAGTCACAGCTTCGTGTCATCCTTTGCAGATGATACAAAAATCAGCATGAAAATCACCTCTGCTGAAGACTACAAACTAGACTAAACTACAAACAGATATTAACAAAGTTTTCGATTGGGCAGCAGAAAATAACATGATGTTTAACTGTGATAAATTCCAGGTACTCAGATATGGGAAAAATGAGGATCTTAAACATAATACAGGGTACAAAACACAATCGAATCTGCCCATAGAAGGAAAACAGCATGTCAAGGATTCGGGAATAATGATGTCCGACGACCTAACGTTTAGGGAGCATAACCAAGCATGTATTGCGTCAGCCAGAAAAATGAAAGGATGGATTACAAGAACCTTCAAGTCCAGAGATCCCATCACAATGGTTGTACTCTTCAAATCACTTGTGTTGTCCCATCTTGAGTACTGCTCAGTACTCACTTTCCCCTTCAGAGCAGGAGATTGCTGAAATTGAGGGAATACAGAGAACATATACGGCACGCATAGAGGAGATAAAGCACCTAAATTACAGTATTGGGATCGTCTCAAAGCTCTCCAAATGTACTCACTAGAAAGGAGACGAGAGATACCAAATAATATACACATGGAAAATACTGAAGGGACAGGTCCCAAATCTGCACAGTAAAATAACAACGCACTGAAGTGAACGACATGGAAGAAAATGCAGAATAGAACCAGTGGCAGAGGTTCCATGGGCACAATCAGAGAACACTGTATGAACATCAGAGGTCCACGGTTGTTCAACGTCCTACCAGCGAGCACCAGAAATATTACAGGAACAACTGTGGACATCTTCAAGAGGAAACTAGATTGTTTCCTCCAAGGAGTGCCGGACCAACCGGGCTGTGGTGGGTATGTGGACCTGCGGGCCGCTCCAAGCAACAGCCTGGTGGACCAAACTCTCACAAGTCAAGCCTGGCCTCGGGCCGGGCTTAGGGAGTAGAAGAACTCCCAGAACCCCATCAACCAGGTACCTCCTCTCCCATACCATACACCAACTCGGCTCCTCCCTTCATCCCTCCTACTCACCGTCTCTCATACACCAACAAGAGTCCTCAGTAAAGTGCAGTTAAATGTTCACTTATTCTATTTATGGTTTATATTTATACCTGATTGTTTTGTGTATGAATAATATGAGTAGTAATCTGTATAAAATGTAATTTTTAAATTAAGAATTTTTGGGGTGTGGAATGGATTAATTCAATTTACATTATTTCTTATGGGAAAATTTGTTTTGGTTGACAAATTTTTGAATGACGACATGTCTCTCGGAACGGATTACGATCGTGAACAAAGGTACCACTGTACTGTACATATAAAATACATTTCTTAACATATTGGGATGAAATTTTCACGAGGCTGTTGCTAAATAATTGGAGAGATGTACAACATTTTAAAGTAATTTTCATCAAATTCAAATATTTTTGGAACTCCCAGCCCTTCATACTTGACAACCATCACGAAGTTGACATACTGTAATAGCAGTGCAGGACTGGAATCACGATTGTTGGTACTGGGGCACTTCAACTTTAACCACCGTGCTGCACAGAGTTTATTGTGAAATTCCCCCTGCGTGCATGAAATAAAATGTTCCCAAAAAAAATTTTCTTCGTAAAATGATAAATTCCCTTCCCTGAACATGTCTATGTAAAAATAAATTCCAAATTCCACTTACTTTGGTTGTGGGGACATGAACAAGGTGCGCTGTGACGTCATCAGGGCCTGTCACCCGTGTGTGATTCGCCCGGACACGGTCGCGTGGGCCATTCAAGCACCAGCTATTGCCACACATTTTCAATTACTTGTTCTATGTATGTCCAATGCGATTTTGTTTTTTTATTGTATATGATGCATATTTGTGTCCTTTACAATATGTATACAGTAAACGTTCATAATGTTCCATGGAACAGTGATATATGTGACAGTAATGTGTCCACAATAAATGTTTAGTTGTAATATTACTTGTTAAAAATTCACTAAAATTACAATATGTACAGTTTCACACACTATTTACACAGTAACCCACTGTATTACATACTCAGTACTTCGGAAGTGAGTAATAATCAACGAAGTAGCCCATGGTACACAGCGCGACTTCGCCCTCATTGCACCAGGTATACGTGTGCTGTAGGTTGTGAACAAAATGGACTCTTGGGACCTCCAATGAGAAGCAGCCATCTTGGAAAAAATTCCCAGAATGTCCTAGGGCTGCTGACTGGCTTAGTACTGAGTGAGCAACCATGGGTGGTGCACGTACCTCTGGCTCCCAAACACCTGTCTGACACAACGTTGAAAGATCGCTCTCTGCCGGTGAAATTCAAACCTTACTTTTTGAAGAACATAAGGGTCATTATATTTATGAAGCTTGGGTTTAGTGATGATTCATCTGATACAAGTACTATAGATGAATAGTGTTAGCAGCTTCCATGGTGGTGTTTTCCCCAGAGATATTTTCAGGAATAGCTGAATCTCTTCCAGAATGGCTGAATCTCTTCCAGTGAGGAACCTTACAAAGTGATCTTTTCAAGACTACCTTACACTTTACAAGCTTGGCTACATACCACCTACAGGTACTAAAGCCAATGGTGTACATGAATGTGTTATTTGCAAGCACACAGAACATAGAAACAGGAAGCGAAAATCTATCTGTACCTGGTGAAACGAGAGCGAAGTTGCGCTGTGTACCATGGACTACTTCGTTGATTATCACTCATTTCCGAAGTACTGTACTGAGTGTGTAATACAGTGTGTTACTGTGTAAGTAGTGCGTGAAACTGAACATATTGTAATTATAGTGTATTAGCCGAGGCTAATTCCCCATCCCCCCGCCGGCACTCTGATGGTAATCTTGGGCATGGTATTTTATCAAATCACCTCATTCTTTGGAGCACATGTGATGCCCCTGTTACCTAGCAGTAAATAGGTACCTGGGAGTTAGTCAGCTGTCATGGCTGCTTCCTGGGGGTGGAGGCTTGGTCGAATACTGGGCCGTGGGGACACTAAAGCCCCGAAATCATCAAGATGATTTCGCCCCCCCTCCACCCATCCACCCACACCCACCCACCCCCACCCACACCCAGAGGAAGCAGCCCATAACAGCTGTCTTAACTCCTAGGTACCTATTTACTGCTAGGTAACAGGAGCATCAGGGTGAAAAACTCTGCTCATTTTGTTTCTGTCTGGTCCAGAAATCGAACCCAGGCCACAGGATTACGAGTCCTGCACGCTGTCCACTTGGCTGCCAGACTACCAGATCCTGTGTACAGGAGTCATAGCAGATGTGTGGAAAAAGGCTAACATAGTTCCAATCTACAAAAGTGGCAGCAGGGAAGACCTCCTCAATTATAGACCTGTATCGTTGACAAATGTAATAGTCAAAATATTGGAAAAAATAATTAAAACTAAATGGGTAGAACACCAGGAGAAAAACAATATAATATCAGACCATCTGTATGGTTTTTGATCTGGAAGATTCTGTGTAACGAATTTACTCAGTTTCAATGAGTCCGCCACAGATTTTACAGGAAAGATATGGTTGGGTTGACTGCATCTATTTGGACCTAAAAAAAAAAAAAAAAAAAAAAAAGGTTTTCGACAGAGTTCCGCATAAGAGGATGTTTTGGAAACTAGAACATACTGGAGGGGTGACAGGTAAGCTAACATGGATGAAAAATTTTGATAGAAAAATGAGGGCAGTAATCAGAGGAAATGTATCGGACTGGAGAAATGTCAAGTGGAGTACTACAGGGTTCAGTTCTTGCACTGGTAATGCTCATTTTTTACATAAACAATACCAGATGGAATACAGAATTATATGAACATGTTTGCTGATGATGCTAAGATAATAGGGAAGATAAGTAACTTTGATGATTGTCATGCATTTCAAATAGATCTGGACAGAATAAGTACAGTAAATGGAGCAGGACTTGGTAAATGGAATTTAATGTAAATAAATGCCATGTTATGGCATTTATTTATATGTTATGTTATGGCATTTAGTCCCATAAAAATTGAACAATAAATGGAATTTTAACATTTTAATTTTGGATGCAACAAGCGCCCCCGCTGGACATCTGTAGTTATTTATGGACGCAATTTCCGTCCCCGCCCACTGAAAGTGTTAATAGCTGTGCCGTCCAAGGGCTTAGGGTTAAACTACAGCGCAGTGCAGTGGTTAAACAAATTATATAATGGTACAAATGATACAATATCAGTTCACTAAAAGAATTAAAACTATTAAACCAGCATTGAATGTAATGCAATGCCAATTTCTGGGAGAGCCCCAGAGGCTCCCTGAAGCTATCACACCGATTCAGTGCCATACTACAAGATGCCATCAGCCACAGAGTTCTACTGGCTTATCGGGGACTACGAGCCAGAACCCTGCACCTCAAGAGAGGTGCAGGGAGTGATGGCATATAAACATATAACATTTATATTTTTATCATAAATCATAATTGTCATTACCAGGGAAGGTACTCAAAGTTAGGTAAAATAAAACAAGAGTACTGCATGGCAAGAATGAGACCACAGCCTCAAAAATGTCAAAAGAACTTCAACATTAATTATTAATACCCACCAAACAAAATTTGTTTAAACTCTAGTCAGTCCCCCCCCCCCCTCCCCATTTGAAAGAGGATGGAGGTGGACTAGGTCAGCCGACCTGCTCCACCAGTAGTTCTATGACGAACTACCCGGCACCCTGGAGGAGGGAGGGTGTCTGGGAGCCTCCACAGGGTTCACCCAAAAGCTGACGTTTCAATACATTCGATTTGGTTTTCTGGGGGGAGCCCCATCACCGCCCTGTGGCTAACAACTGATAGAGAAGGACAGAAAAGGGCGCATAGAGAAATGGCAGCACTGCAGGTATCAAGTCAGATGAACAGTCGACCGCAAACATGACCCAAGGCAACAAAGGATAAAAATCACTGGTGCTGAAGAGACTGAAGCTCACCCAACCGACCATCAAAGACCAAAGAAACAGCTTTCAAGAAACAATTCCGGACAGAAAGGAATCTCTTCCGAGCAGAAGCAGAAGACAGAAAGATAGAACCCAGTCCAGAGTCCAGGCACTCAGGTGGCTCATGAGCAAGCCAGTGAAAAACCACCAGAAAGCTCGAGAAATGGGGCCGAATGTGTCAACCCCCGAACGCAAGCATGAGTAGCTCCACCAGTGCTGCTGAGAAGAGGTGACAGTAATTGGCCTAAGACACCGAGCAAGGAACGGCCAATAAAGAAAGGACAAGACACCGAGCTAGAAACAGCCAATAAAGAAAGGTCAAGACAACACGCTCTGAAACAGAACAACAACAAAGGGATAAAAAAAAAAAAAAAAAAAAAAAAATCAAGAGACTTCATATTGCTGTTGGGAGAATTGCAGGTGGGACACCTATAACAAGCCACCTGTTCATCACAGAACGGTGGAGTTACACACGTCAAATCACCATAAGCGAAGAGCGTGGAAGGTTGACCCAGAGAAGTACAACACCAGGCCAACCCTCTGTAAATGGTATGAGCTGTAGAAAATGCCCAGGACGGACACCAAGCATGCAGCACCAGAAACCAAGGAGCCAGAAAGATCACCATCTTCCTGAATGACTCCAATAGCACCAGTGTCCAAAGTAACAGCCAGACCAGGAGAAGAGGCAGGAACCCCCAACTCCAGGGCTCGCCCAAAAATTGGCGTTTCAATACATTCGATTCTGGTTTTCTGGGGGGAGCCTTATCACCGCCCTGAAGCTAACTACCGACAGAGAAGGACAGACAGTCCAGCTGAACAGTCTAGCTGAAAGGCTGGAAGTCTCGCAGTTGGACACCAGAAGGACAACATCCGGGCGCCGGAACATCAAGTAAAGCCAGAGAAGGAAGGGGCATCGATGGTCCATACCGTAGAACCAGAGAAAGGAATCTGGACAGACTAAGCAACTAGCACCATAGAGACCAGGACTGAAGAGCCTGAATGGAGCCACCTAGGACTACATGATAAATTTCAATAGCAACCATACCAAAATTAACACACACATTATCAACTTTCACATACTGTATTGCAGGAATGTGATCTGTACCACTTTACATACTCAGCAGCATCACAGGAAGCTAATTCATAATATGTGACAACATGGTAAACTAGCATTGAACTGAGAGACAATTTCCAGCAAGTCCCTTACCCTGCATATAGGGCACTGAAACGTGAGAGCCTTCATTGCAGCCTTTTTCTGTTCATTAGCATTGTGGCCGGATTTTTTCATAGCTGCTTGCTTCTGCTTATTTTTTTCTTGTGATTGAGCTTTCTGATGTCCACGAGCCATGGCTGGATCTGGGGAGAAAATGGCAAGAACATTTTTTTTTATTGTTTCCCTTTGGTTACCATAGAGAAAGAATAGTAATATCCATAAATATCATGTTACTCACATCACTGGATAAAGTGACATGCTCTCTTATCAGTCAATTGAATATCTGAAAATGAAGTGCCAATACTAAAATAAAAAATCTAGATACCTTGCACTGACACCAGTAATATTCAGGTTTATATCTAGAGTAACAGATGTCAACAGTAAGTTGTAACTGTGGTTCTACCACCAAGAATAAAACTGTAATGAAGAAGCCAATTGTGATGTGACAAGTCAACTGCAATATAGCACATTATTCTTAATTAACAGTAAGCATAATCTGAACACAGTACAATTAGAGTCCCACATTTGGTCACATGACTTCACATACAAAGGGTCAAAAAGGCTATTGATGCCCCTGCTTGTACACACTTGTGTCATGTACTGTACTTGCAAAAGATGCGAGCAACTGTACAGGTATTTATCATCGCTGAGTGGCAGAAGGATTTAAGGAGTTTAGATGCAAATGAAAAGGCAATTTAAAATAAAATATTACTATGATAGATTACACAGAAATCACAATAGCGTGATGCATCAAATGAACAAATCCAAGGCCGTGATGAAGGTTCGAATCTACGTTCGAGAGGATCCCAGACGTGCCTTAATCGACTGAGCGCATATCATATATAAATGATATCAGTGACAAAACCGAAACCGCGCACATCATTTATATATGATTTCGTGTCTAGCGCTATAATTTAAACTCCCCACCTGGGATAGGGGCAGCTATAGTACAGCCACGACCGATAGTTGCCAGATGCCACCTAGAAAAAAAATCCAGGCCAACATTCTTGGGTGTTACAGCGTCAGTATTGAGCAAGCCACCAAGGCTGGTGCACGCAGCACAAGCTCACAGCACCGCTGTTCAGCTTGTGACCACAGCATCGCCTACAAATACCATAATATATATGATACTGCTATTATTTAGCAGTGATAGTATTACTGAAGCCCCCTGACTGTGATAAAACTGGCCAGGATTCTGATAATAGCAGGATTGTGGTGATATTTAGCGCTGTGCTCCATGGAGGGAGGCGTAAGGCTGTGCGAGGGAGGGTTGTGGCGTCGTCTTCTGACTGTGTGTGGCCACCTTTATTGACTGCACTCACCATACCAGCTTAGTGGTACGATATGGTGAACACAAATGTAGATACTTATATATAACGTGTGTATAGAGTGTGATAACAGCGAGAGGAGTAGGTTGGGAGCCGCCATTTTGGTGAGGGAGGAGCGTCATCTGCACGTCTTGGCATGGTGTTTACTGATGGCCACTATGGTCTTTGGGCACCATACCAGCTTATTTGTTCAGGTATGGTGAATAAAACAGGTAGATACTTATATTTAATGTGTGTATATAGCGTAATAACACCACAAACAATATTGTTCAAGGACAAATATTAGTGCGTCTGGCCTTGAGGGCGGCCGCCGATCAGCTGACTGTGTGAGTAGCTACGTCTTTGTGGCCTTTACTCACCATACAAGCTTAGATGCACAGTTATGGTGAACAAAACATGTAAATACGTATATATAACGTCTGTGTATAGTGAATAAATACAGAAAGAGTATTGTAGGAGATGAATGAGGGTGAGTGAGGTGGTGTTGAGGGAGGGAGTGGCAGTGAGTGGCTCGCTGGTGTTTGGCGGTCACTCCTCGTTGCTTTTTGACTCACAAGATCAACTTAGTAGTTCATTATGGTGTACAAAACATGCAAATACTTATATATAACCTGTGTATATAGTGTAACAACAGCAAAACTATTTGTTTATTGTTTTATGAACATAATAATTGAATCACTAATATGCACACCATAATTTTGAGTACAGCGATGGTTCACACATTTTATAATATAAATGTACCACAATTCACTGTATGGAATAATATTACTGCAAAAAAACTAAGAAAAAATCAGAGACATTGAAATAATTAGGTAATAATATATTTGTGGCAACTGCCGTCTGACAGCTCGGGCGGAGTAGACCTCATCTGGCGAAGGCTCTGCCAACGCCCCTTTTTTGCCACACTTCCCTACCCTATTGCGGCTAAAATATGCCACCTACGATTTTTTTGTTATTTTTTCCGTGATCAGGGAACAAAAATGAACACTTCTATAAGACGAAAGAATTTTTTGGAATTTTTTTTTTTGTTGCGCCTGTGGGTGTGAATTCCATTTGGGCCCCTAGCGGTTTGAGGGTTAAGGGTTAAATCAACTGGCCAACAGATTAATTTAGGCAATAGAGCCATTTAGCACTTGCTCCTTTAAAACTAATCTCACGAGATCAACTTTAACTCTTAGACCGCGCAATATATATACAGTATAGCTGATGTGAGTAACTTTACCGATACTGTGCAATACATCAATAGCTGATTTAGTGTATAGTGCTAGATTTTAAACCCCCTTTTTAAAACTATTTTTTTGGGGAGGGTGGGATAGAGGTAGCCATTGTCAAGTCGCACCCGACCATAATTAAATGCCACCTGGGAAAAAATCCAGCGTAGGCCGTTATTGTGTACAGGCCTCAGTTACCTTGAGGTGCTTCCGGGGCTTAGCGTCCCCGCGGCCCGGTCGTCGACCAGGCCTAAACAGACCCGGCAGACACCATGGAAAGCGAATCACGTTCCATTGACCGATCCCACGTAACGAAGTGTTCATCACGACCTCTGACTGAGGATGAAATTAATAAGAATTTGTTCCCGGATGGTGATGAATCTGATATTGACGACTCTGACTTGCACGAAAAGCACGAATCCCTTGTGCTTTTCAAAGGACGTCTTGCCTTCAAGCAATATACTGTATTCCCTCCAAACGCCACCAATTTGGATTGAAATTTTTTGTACTCTGTGACTGTGAAACAGGAATTGTGTTACACATGATAATGTATACAGATACAAATATAGACATTCCTGCTAATGACCAACATGGCTTTTGGGTAGTGCGGTGAAGTCACTGCTTGCACCATATCTGAACAAGGGCCACATATTATACACATAACTATTATACCAGTCCCTTGCTAACTAGGTTCTTGATCGATAATAGAACTGGAGTGTGTGGCACAGTGAAGGCATAACGAAGGGAAATGCCAGTGTTTCACACTGCTATGCAGATTGGCGATTGCGAGCTAAGAAAAACTGGTGCAATGCTTTCAGTGCGGTGGAAAGACAGGTGTGAAATGAACATGTTGACCACCTGCTTGATACCTGCTTGATGGAGTTCTGGGAGTAGTTCTACTCCCCAAGCCAGGCCCGAGGCCACGTTTGACTTGTGAGAGTTTGGTCCACTAGGCTGTTGCTTGTAGCGGCCTGCAAGCCCACATACTCGCCACAGCCCGGTTGGTCCGGCACTCCTTGGAGGAAACTATCTAGTTTCCTCTTGAAGATGTCCACTGTTGTTCCGGCCGCCACCGGTACCAGTACCACCTGTACCGATACCACTGGTACCAGTACCACCGTTCACGGCGGTACAATGGTGAACAGTGGCAAGGTGAACAGAACAAAACAAATAATCTATAAGCCAGATGGTGTCTTGGACTATAACATCAACATGCGTTTGGTGGATAAATGTGATATGATGGTGGGGCAGTGGAGTGTGTACAGAAAACAGTGAAGTGGAGCAAGAAAATGTTTTTCAACCTTGTTGACGTAACAATGCTGAACAGTTACAATATTTATCTTGTCAAAACAAGTGGTAAACGAAATTTCCGTACATTGTTTTACTGTAGTGACAATTACTAGAAAAATTTGGCAAAACAATTCCTGGCATACAGAGGCCCATTCTGAACCCAATATTGCACCATGTTCCCACGCCCAGGCTCGCTTTTAGGGATGCCTTTGTCACACAATTTAAGGTATTTACCAGCAACTGGAAAGCGTGCAATAGGCCAGAGTGAGTGCATGGTATGCAAAACAGGAACAAAGAGGGAAAAGAAACGTAAAATGGTGATGACTTGGTGCACAGCGTGTTCGATCCCTCTGTGCTGTCAAATGTTTAGAAGAGTATCAGTCTTGATGACTTCTAAATGTCCAAGACTGATGCAAAAACATGTAAATACAGAATAAGTGAGTGTAAATAGTGAAAACAAATCATAATAAAGTGTATATTTATTGAAAAATAAGACTTTTGTGCAAATACTTGTGACACTAATATGAGGAAACATTACACATTTACAACAGTTGTATGATAATAAATCATCAAATCATAAATCAACATTGAACCACACCAGTGAAAGAAATGACTGTAAAATATGTCATAGATACTGTAAATAATACAACGATAATAAATTCAAGGCAACTCGGGTTCCTTCGCCGCGCCTGACTCGGTCCAGGTGCACCACGCTCCAGCGAAGATGATCCGTGACATCGACCAACTTCTTGGCTCATTTACGTCATTGGTATGAACAATTAAATTTTTTTTTTCCCCGTGCTCAGGGAACACAATTAGACATAAGAAAAACAAATTTTGATTTTTTTTTGTTTGCGCCTGTGGGTGTTGAAGGCAGAATGGCCCTTAGCAGTTTAAGGGTAAAGGAGTCGATTCCAAGGAAAAATATATGCTCGAGAAATCTTCGCCGACAGTCGTGAAAAGTCTTGAAGCACAAGCTGATGCAGCTATAGCAATCAAAGATCATGTGAATGGCTTTATGCTTGCAAAACATAACTATGCAGACTTTAGGGTTTTGAAAAGCCACCAAAACGCTTAGCTTTGTAGTAGAAATCATCTATAATAATACCCAGGGTACGTGTCTCAACCAACACCTTGTAGAGACATGGTTCGTCACAATGCAGAGATGGATGGCTGTGGGTGGCGGATGGTGGAAATAGCTGGGAATGCTTGTTTAGTAGCAGTTGGTTCTGCATTTTCTAAACATTTCTCAGTTTGGATGTCTTGTGGCCTTTCATTGCATTTAGGGCAGTTTGCCATCAAGGAAGATAATATCCAGCACCAGATCTACTGGATTATCAAGATAATTTTCTATTTTGCTTATTTGTTCTCTGAATTTCTCCACCAATGCATCTGGATGTTTGTATACTACAATAATAATATTAACATACAAATTTATTACTACATTTGATCTAATTTACCATTATATGAATTATAATTTGGTATCTAAACATCACTTCACTATTAATAAAGCCATTTATAGGCAAAACACATTTTTTACTTTAAATCTTTTATATAGGTTATCAAATACACAGTGTAGAACTATCCATTTTGTGTACCATTTCTGGGGAAGGTTTAATTGTTGTCTTCTATTTCCATCCTGATCTCAGGGTATGCTGTAGTCAACAGTGAGTTAGTGTAGTCAAGGAAGTGAGTCAACCAGTTATGGTGGTGGTGGTGGTGTGAAGAATGGCAGCTCCTGTTGGGCTGTGAAGTGTGAGCCCTCAAACCCTAACTTGGAGCTGCCTCCTGCATTCATGTATCCTCTCTCATACTGTTGTAGTGTTTGTGTGTGTTGCCGTCTCCTCCCCAAGGCCTACACCCTGGCCCTGAGGGACCGGACAAAGCGCTGCCCAACATGGCTTTCCCCCCACACATCTATCACCTTGTTTCCATTCTTAATATATAACCTCCCACTGGTCACACAGGTGTCCTCAAGCTGGCGCTCGCAGGCCACAAGAGACCACCATCCTCCGTGTCCTCCTGGGAGGGAGACACGGAGGCACACATAACCTCCCTAAAACCCCAAAAAATAGAAAGCCACATTCATCCCGACACCAGCAGCAAACTGCACCAGGAAACCTGCTAAAAGCCCCTTAACAATCTATTAATAACGTTTAGAACAGTTATAACCGTGGCGTGAAGGGCACAAGAATGGTCCTCACCGTCAGGAGACACCGCAGGGGCGACAACTGGCACAAATGTGGTGAAATGTTGGGGAGCAGGAGGCGGCGTCGGCGCACGTTCCTCTGGTGATTGTTGTGTTGAGGAGGCCACAGCCCGCACCACCATCCTCTCCCACAACCACTTCCTCACTTTTCACAATATTTGCCAACTTTGTGCATACAAAACTCTTATAATATTTTTGTTAAATATCTCTATTACCAAAGATATGAAAATTTTGTAAAATATTTACCTTGATTTGGTCTTCAAGATGGCACGCTTTTCTCCGTAGTATGGACAGCGATGCCCAGTCTATCCCACTTTAATAACATTTCTAAGCTTTCTAAGTTGTAAACCCCTACCATATAATTTTTAAATATAACTAAAGCCAAAAAGTACGAAAAATATATATAAAGTTTTCTCTGATTAAATCTTCAAAACGGTGACTTTTGTCTCCGTAGGACGAGTTACGCTTCACAGGAAATTCCAGTGGTAAAAAACTGCACTTGAATCAGTTCTATCAGATTCTATTGAATCAAAATCAAAACTAATAATAATGATATTAATGAATGATGCTGTATATATATTATATATATATATATATATATATATATATATATATATATATATATATATATATATATATATATATATATATATATATATATATATATATATATATATAAGACACTAAGAACTCTTTGACCCGGCCAGGATTCGAACCCATGCCGTCCAGGATCACCCCTAAACGTAGGGATGACGGCATGGGTTCGAATCCTGGCCGGGTCAAAGAGTTTTCTTAGTGATCTATGGCTTGCGCGTTCATGCAGCTTTCTCACACACACATATTATATATATATATATATATATATATATATATATATATATATATAATATTATAATATGGAGTTCATAATTGTAAATAATGTGTTACATGATGGCAACAATTGATTTTATTTGTAACTGTTACTTGTGCAGGATGACTGAGTGAATCATTGTGACAGTGGTGCAGTACAATGGTGCAATCTCTGGAAACATTAGAATAGTCTCAGTCTCTGCACTGTTGCAGTAATATGTTGCAGTCAATACGAATGTTGGAAATATTATCAATATTGCCGGTTATATATATATATATATATATATATATATATATATATATATATATATATATATATATATATATATATATATATATATATATATATATATATATATTTCTCAAGTGATGTTACATCACAGAACATTATATTTATACTATTAGTGGGTCAGGTGTATACAAATGGATCAAACAATGGGGTCAGGTATATACAAATGGATCAAACAATGGGGTCAGGTGTATACAAATGGATCAAACAATGGGGACAAGTGTATACAAATGGATCAAACAATGGGGTCAGGTGTATACAAATGGATCAAACAATGGGGTCAGGTGTATACAAATGGATCAAACAATGGGGTCAGGTGTAGACAAATAGATCAAACAATGGGGTCAGGTGTAGACAAATGGATCGAACAATGGGGTCAGGTGAATACAAATGGATCGAACAATGGGGTCAGGTGAATACAAATGGTTCGAACAATGGGGTCAGGTGAATACAAATGGATCGAACAATGGGGTCAGGTGAATACAAATGGATCGAACAATGGGGTCAGGTGAATACAAATGGATCGAACAATGGGTATACTTATCAACAAGGCCAAAGGAAAATCGCCTCCTGCTCCGCCACATCATGTTCATCCAGAGCAAGAAGCAGAAAGATTAGCAAATCTATTTGCTTCAAGAGCCAGTTCCACTCAACTTCCTCAAGCAACACTGACTCACCAACAAGGACTTCAAGCAGCAAGATGGAAAAAAATAGTCGATGATTTAGCCTTACCTGGCGAACTAGACCAACCTTTCAATCTGAAGAACTCAGAAGAGCTACAAGGAAAATTAAAAACACAGCTTCAATTGAGGACAAAATCACTTACAACATGCTGGTCAAGCTAGGAAAAAATGGTGAAGAAGCCTTCTTGAATCTCATCAACAGAGTATGGGTGACAAGAACTCGACCACTCTCTTGGAACAGTGCAATTATAGTTCCCATTCCAAAACCTAAAGACCCAGGAAATCCAAGACCTATCTCATTAACAAGCTGTCTGTCCAAAACTGCGGAAAGAATGGCTCTTAATCGAATTGAATGGAATCCCTTCCATCAAAATGTTTGCTTACAGAAAAGGTGTTGGAACCACAGAATGCCTTACCTCCCTCCTAGATCAAATCAATGACAAACCTGGAATCCTTATTTTTCTAGACCTAGAAAAAGCCTTCAAGTTAGCCAGTGCTCCAGCTACACTGTGCTGCCTTGCGGATAAGGAAATCAAAGGACACGCTCTTACCTTTGCCAAAGGAAGCCTGCTTAACCGAGAAGCTTCAGTCAAATTCCAAGGATTTGTCCTTGGAATCGTCCTCAAAGAGGCTGGAAAAATGGAACTCCGCAGGGAGGAATACTAAGCCCTTTCCTCTTTAACTGTTTTATGGAACAATTCATGAAGCTCAAATTACCAAAAGCCAAACTGCTTAACTATGCAGACGACTTTGTGGTTATCATCAATGGCAAATGCGCCAGGAATTTGTATGGGTATTTGTATGGTCAGCACAGTAACCGGACCAGGCAATGTGATGTAGTCATTGCGCGAATTCGCCTTGGCTATAGACACATCTGGCAGGTTAGTGAGGCTGAGCCACTACCAGAATATTCAGATTGTAAACTCTGTGATAAACCTTTAGTGCATTCACTTGAACACTATATTGTTGAATGTGAAACCGTAAGACTTTAGACCTCCTGGCCTATTGTACCACCAACTGTGTAACTATTTCATTGACTTGAGTGTTCTGGACGACATCCTAACAATTTATCCAAAATTTGCTTGTCCATTTTAATGAATGAAGAATAATTTTATTTATATTACTTTTAAGCTGCATCACTTATGAACCCATCCCTGCCCTTGTGTGGCAGTGCACAATAGAAAGTTGTTTTCACATATTCGTACATTAAAACATTGACTGTAACCATGATATTATATGTGCTTCAGCCTACAGTTTAGACCTATTATCTTGTGTATGACCCTCTGGCCTGTGTGACAGTAAATACCAGCATTATGCTCACTCTAACAAGATCTTAATTGAATAATAATAATAATAATAATTCATCATCAGCTTTTAAGTTGTTATCGCAACCAGTGATCTGGTCCTCGCCACGAGCGGCTGAACAAGGCAATCCATTGTGCTTCCATCCACATGGTGAAGTGGCACATTGTGTCTCGCGTGACCAGCGGGTCATGTGGAGGAGACCATGAGGAGGTGGGGGTGTGGGGTGGTGGTGTGTGGGGGGGACTGTGGGGTGGTGGTGTGTGGGGGTTTGTGGGGTGGTGGTGTGTGGGGGTTTGTGGGGGACTGTGGGGTGGTGGTGTGGGGGGGACTATGGGGTGGTGGTGTGTGGGGGTGTGTGGGGTGGTGGTGTGTGGTGGTGGTGTGTGGTGGTGTGTTGGGGTGTGTGGGGTGGTGGTGTGTGGTGGTGGTGTGTGGGGGAATGTGGGGTGGTAGGGATTATTCTTTACATACCGACCCTATTGATTTTTTTTTATTGTTGCCGCCGAAGGCGGCTAGTTTATTGTGCACCCCATACTCATCCTGTGAGCGGTAGCGCAAAAGCATTACAGAGGGCACAAAAAGTCTTTATCAGACCTCATCTTAGATTATTACATAAACAATTTCTTCAATCCTTCACACCTTATAGATACAATGTCAGCTAGTTACAGAGAAAGTGCTATTACAAGAGCTACATATTTACAGTAAGTCATCATACATTAATGGTAGGTCTTATCGTTAATACATAATAGTTTGGCCAATGGGGATATTACAGAGTCATAGGGGAGCTTCTGTTTATTATTAGTCCTCACAATACACTACTTGTTTCTGAATCTCATATGTCGTTCATCTACTACCGACCCCACTCTTCATTAATCCTCTTTCCTGTAGACTTCCAGATTATAAGCTGTGTGCGAGAGTTGTGGTACTCTGTAGAGGAGTGGGCAAGTGGCAGAGGCTGGGGTGTAACAAATGACTCGGCTGCACCTGTTTCCAACTAACATTCGATGACGTAGTGCATTAGTGGAGTCCAGTGTTCAGCAGCCACACATGAGAGGTATTGTGTGTGTTCCAGCAGCTTCACTGCCACAGCTGGTAACACTCAGAACACAATGTATTTACAACTGAGTGGAGCACAGCTACCTTCATCACTGTACTCACCTAATTGTGCTTGCGGGGTTGAGCTTTGGCTCTTTGGTCCCGCCTCTCAACTGTCAATCAACTGGTGTACAGATTGTGTCGCAAGCTTCGCTCCTCTCCATCCTAACAACTCTGGATGTCCTGTCATGGCCCGTGAAAGCTGTCACGGCCCGTGAAAGCTGTCATGGCCCGTGAAAGCTGTCACGGCCCGTGAAAGCTGTCATGGCCCGTGAAAGCTGTCACGGCCCGTGAAAGCTGTCATGGCCCGTGAAAGCTGTCACGGCCCGTGAAAGCTGTCATGGCCCGTGAAAGCTGTCACGGCCCGTGAAAGCTGTCATGGCCCGTGAAAGCTGTCATGACCCATGAAAGCTGTCATGGCCCGTAAAAGCTGTCACGGCCCGTGAAAGCTGTCATGACCCGTGAAAGCATGAAAACACTCCAAAACCTTGCAGACGTCATTGCCCAGAGTGGTGAGAGTATCATAGACAGGGATGGTCCCATCTTACATCACTGCCAACATACAACGTGACACCTTTGACCCTTGGCATGGTGCAGTATTAGAGTTAACAAGTCAGTGTATTCCCCTGTTACTGTTGTAGCTGCGCTTTGTAAGCACTACACCTGCGCTGTGCACACTACACAGGTGTACTGTGCACACTACACAGGTGTACTGTGCACAGTACACCTGTGCTTCCTCAACCTCTCACGTACGAGAACAAATATTGCTCGCTTGTTGCTATTAGACTATTTTACAGGAACTTCTTTTCCACAGCTCATAAAACGGAGGAAAGGGTCCTGAAAGATATTGTTAATAGAAACGTTATCCCTACAGACAAAAATCAGAAGATACAACTGACGATTTACTATAAAAACAAAAAACGGCCAGCCTAC